AAAGAATGAATGGGTCAATGAGGAAATTAAGAAAGAATTTTAAAAATTCACAGAATCAAATGAAAATGAAAACATAACTGTTCAAAACCTTTGGGATACAGCAAAGGCAGTCCTAAGTGGGAAGCAATACAAGCCTTTCTCAAGAAACAAGAAAGGTCTCAAATACATGAGCTAACCTTACACCTAAAGTTGCTGGAGAAAGAATGGCAAATATAGCCCAAACCCAGCAGGAGAGGAGAATTAATAAAGATTAGAGCAGAAATCAATGAAATAAAAACCAAAAGAAAAGGAGAACAGATCAATAAAATTAGGAGCTGGTTCTTTGAAAGAATTAATAAGATCAATAAACTCCTGGCCAGACTTATCAAAAAGAAAAGAAAAAGGACCCAAACCAGTAAAATCATGAATGAAAGGAGAGAGATCACAACCAATACTGAAGAAATACACACAATTATAAGAACATATTATGAACAACTATATGGCAACAAATTAGGCAATCTGGGAGAAATGGATGCATTCCTAGAGACATATAAACTACTAAAACTGAACCAGGAAGAAACAGAAAGCCTGAACAGACCCATAACCAGCAAGGAAATTGAAGCAGTAATCAAAAATCTCCCAATAAAAAAGAGCCCAGGGCCAGAAGGTTCCCAGGGGAATTCTACTAAACATTAAAGAAGAATTAATACCTATTCTCCTGAAACTTTTCAAAAAATAGAAATAGAAGGAAAGCTCTCAAGCTCTTTCTATGAGACCAGCATTGCCTTGATCCCAAAAATCAGACAAAGACCCCACCAAAAAGGAGAATTATAGACCAATATACCTGATGAACATGGATGCAAAAATTTCTCACCAAATACTAGCCAACAGGATCCAACAGTACATTAAAAGGATTATTCACCAAGACCAAGTGGGATCTATTCCCGGGTTGCAAGATGGTTCAGCATCCACAAATCGATCAATGTGATATACTACATTAATAAAAGAAAGGACAAGAACCATATACCCTCTCAATAGATACAGAAAAAGCATTTGACAAAGTATAGCATCCTTTCTCAATTAAAACTCTTCATGGTGTAGAGATAGAGGCAACCTACTTCAATATCATAAAAGCCATATACAAAAAGCCCACAGTGAATATCATTCTCAGTAGTGAAAAACTGAGAGATTTTCCCTTAAGGCCAGGAACACGACAGGGATGTCTACTATCACCACTGTTGTTCAACATAGTACTAGAAGTCCTAGCCTCAGTAATCAGACAGCAAAAAGAAATAAAAGGCATCCTGATCAACAAAGAAGCCAAACTCTCACTCTTCACAGATGACATAATACTCTATGTGGAAAACCCAAAAGACCACCCCAAAATTGCTAGAACTCACACAGAAATTCAGCAAAGCATCAGGATATAAAAATCAATGCACAGAAATCAGTTGCATTTCTATACACTAATAATGAGACAAAAGAAAGAGAAATTAAGGAGTCAATTCCATTTACAATTACAACAAAAACCGTAAGATAAGGAGGAATAAACCTAACCAAAGAGGCAAAGGATCTGTACTCAGAGAACTATAGAACACCAATGAAAGAAATTGGGGACAACACAAAGAAATGGAAAAACATTCCACGCTCATGGATTGGGAGAACAAATATTGTTAAAGTGTCTATGCTACCTAGAGCAATCTATACATTTAATGCAAACACTGTCAAAATGCCATCAACTCTTTCTACAGAGCTAGAACAAATAATCTTAAAATTTGTATGGAACCACAAAAGACCCTGAATAGCCAAAGGAATGTTGAAAAAGAAAACCAAAGCTGGTGGCATCACAGTTCTGGACTTCAAGCTCTATTACAAAGCTGTAATCATGAAGACAGTATGATACTGGCACAAAAACAGACACATAGATCAATGGAACAAAATAGAGAGTCCAGAAATGGACCATCAACTCTATGGTCAACTAAAGCAGGAAAGAATATCCAATGGAAAAAAGACAGTCTCTTCAACAAATGATGTTGGGAAAACTGGACAGCCACATACAGAAGAATGAAACTAGACCATTTTCTTACACCATACACAAAATGGATGAAAGACCTAAATGTGAGATAGGAATCCATCAAAATCTTGGAGGAAAACAGGTGGCAACCTCTGTTACCTCGGCCACAGCACCTTCATGCTAGACCTGTCTCCAAAGGCACGGGAAACAAAGGCAAAAATGAACTATTAGGACTTCATCAAGATAAAATCTTTTGGACAGTAAAAGAAACAGTTGACAAGACCAAAAGACAACCAACAGAATGAGAGAAGATATGTGGAAATGTCTTACCAGATAAAGGACTAGTATCCAAAATCTATAAAGAACCTATCAAATTCAATACCTAAAGAACACATAATCCAATCGAGAAATGGGTAGAAGACATGAACAAACATTTCTCCAAAGAAGACATAAAAATGGCCAACAAACACATAAAAATTGCTCACCATCACTTGCCATCAGGGAAAGACAAATCAAAACCACATCACACAGGTCAGAATGGTTAAAATTAACAAATCAGGAAATGACAGATGTTGGTGAGGATGTGGAGAAAGGGGAACCCTCCTACACTGTTGGTGGGAATGCAAGCTGGTGCATGCACTCTAGAAATCAGTATAGAGGTTCCTCAAAAAGTTGAAAATAGAGCTACCCTACAACCCAACAATTGCACTATTAGGTATATACCCCAATGATACAAATGTAATGATCCAAAAATCCCACTGTTCATAGCAGCAATGCCCACAATAGCCAAACTATGGAAAGAGCCCAGATGTTCATTAACAGATGAATGTATAAAGAAGATGTGGTTATAAATACAAAGGAATATTACTCAGCCATCAAAAAGGTGAAATCTTGCCATTTTTAATGACTTGGATGGAACTGGAGGGTATTATGCTAAGTGAAATAAGTCAATCAAAGAAAGGCAATTATATGATTTCATTCATATGTAGAATTAAAGAAACAAAACAGAGCATTATAGGAGAAGGGAGGGAAAAATAAAACAGGATGAAATCAGAGAGGGAGACAAACCATAAGAGACTTTGAATCATAGGAAACAAACTGAAGGTTGCTGTAGGGAGGGGGTTGGGGGATGGGATAACTAAATGATGGACATCATCAGAGCCTATGATGTAATGAGCACTGGATGTTATATAAGACTGATGAATCACTGAACTCTACCTCTGAAACTAATAATACACTATATGTTAACTATATGTTAATTAATTGAATTTAAATTTTTTAAAAAAGGAAACAACATTCTCTGCCCTTGGGGCACCTGGGTGGGTCAGTCAGTTAAGCATCCAACTCCTGGTTTCAGCTCAGGTCACAATCTCAGGGTTCTAGAATGGAACCCGGCACCCAGGCTCCCCACTCAGTGGGGAGTCTGTTTGTCTCCCTCTCTGTGCTCCTCCCCCCTGTTCGCATATGCACTCTTTCTGTCTCTCTAAAGTAAATAAGTAAATCTTTATTAAAAAATATTTGCAACATCTTAAATCTTTTATGGTCAATAGTACATTGTCCTACATCCATTGAGCTTTAGCTGTGGGTTGACAGGCAAGTCTTATGAAAGCACATGTTTGCTAAAAGAATAGCTCTCATCTGTTAGTTCTACTGCTTTAATAACTGAAATGTTTCAATGGATAGATTGTACTCTGTAAGTGTAATTTTTCACATAATAACAATAATTTCAAGTGAAATTAGATTTTAGATATTAGTTTACCACTAAAATATCATTTATTCCCTTTTAAAACACTGCTTTAAATTGAGTTTTAAAAGAATTACTCATTTTTTCTTATGACAGATTTAAAAAAAAGCCTGACAAAATTAAAGGAGCTTTTCTACAGCACCCAGAAGAGTCCATACAATGTCGTTCTGGGTTTCTATCATAACTTAAAGGGAAACTTGTATAATAACTAGAGACCATGATGTCCTACAAATAATGAAGAAAGATGTTCCCAGGTTCCTTGCTGCCGAAAACCACATAGGTGGCACCAAGCTTGATTTCCAAGTGGAACAGTCATCTACAAAAGGAAAAGTCATGGCATTACCTTATCAATCTCAAGAGACCTAGGCGATGCTCCTGCTGGCAACTTGTGCCATTCTTGCCACAATAATGTCAGTATCATATCCTCTAAGAATACTGGCCAGGGAGCTCTTAAAGGTTTGCTGCTGCTATCAGAGACACTCCTCCTGCCAGTGCTCAGCTTCCAGAAGCTTCAAGAACTAGATCTGGGCAGCCATACTGGAGTTCTGTCTTCTGGTGGTTACTGATCCCAGGGCTGACCACCAGCCTTATGTTAACCTGCCTACCATTGCCCCAGGTAACACAGACTCTCCTCTGTGTTATGTGGGCATTGCCAGCCCATGCCCTAACAAGGAAGCACACTCAGCTGGTCTGAGGTGGTGGATGCGGGACTGGGGAAGTTTTGAGCATGCGTGGCTCCATCCTGTGAAATCCAGCTCAAGGTCATGCCTCATTTCTCCTTCCATAGAGTTCCTGCTTCCAAGAGATTGGAAAGGAAGAGCAGATGGCTGCTGAAAAGACCATGACAAGGAGAAATTTCAAGGTGGATAGACAGCTCCAGCTCCTAAGCTCACTAATACTCAACCTGAGGTCACATCTGGGTCTGGAGATGGGCAGGTGTCCTCTTTCCCTAGTCAGCACTTCCCTGCAGAGGACTGGAGCACTTAGCTTGATCACCGAGGTCTGCTCTACAGCTTCCACTCTTCAGGTCACTGAAAGGGTAGGAACACCCAGCCACTGAGTGGTCTTAAGCTGTTCTTTCACAGACTCTTAGAAAATGGAAATAAGGTTGACAAAAATTAAACAGTTTGCAAAAAAAGAATTAAAGATCTTCCTTACCTTTGCAACATTTGAAAACATGGCCTCCTTATCCAGCATGTTATAGCAGCTCTGCAATTTTTCTGATCTCTATTTCTAACTTGTCTTCATTTTAATTTTTCTTTCATTTTTTTAAATCTCAAAGTTTAAGTTTCTTATAATTTGTCTCCAACACGGCATTCTGTGAAAAGTATACTAAAGGGGAGAGAAGTAATTTGGCTTAGATAATCACTGTTAAAGGTATTACCTTAATTTTTTTTAAGCATATTGAAATGAGAAAGTAATTGAAAACCAATGGACAGGGGTAGCTGGGTGACTCTGTCGGTTAAGCACCTGTTTTCAGCTCAGGTCATGTTAGAAGATGTGGTTATAAATACAAAGGAATATTACTCAGCCATCAAAAAGGTGAAATCTTGCCATTTTTAATGACTTGGATGGAACTGGAGGGTATTATGCTAAGTGAAATAAGTCAATCAAAGAAAGGCAATTATATGATTTCATTCATATGTAGAATTAAAGAAACAAAACAGAGGATTATAGGAAAGGGGAGAGAAAAATAAAACAGGATGAAATCAGAGAGGGAGACAAATGCAGAATCTGCATCTCCCTCTGCTGCTCCCTGCTGCTTGTGCTCTCTCTATCTCTCTCAAATGAATAAATAAAAATCTTAAAAAAAAAAAAAAAAGAAAAGAAAACCATTGGACAACCATTGAGGCATATTTACAGGCTCTGTTTGTATGACTTGGAGACTGTAATGTTAAGTAGAATCTTTGGCTGTCATTTTCTTCCACTGTGATGATGTCCTTGCTGTCCACAACAGAGTAAATGAGCATTTTTAGCTGGTAAAGAAACTGTATATGAAGAAAAGAAGAAAAGTGAAGATAAGACACCAACACTCATTGCGCTCCTATGTGCCAGCATTTACGAAGTTGACATTGCTTTTAACTCTCACAAAAATTACAAGCTAATTAGAATTAGAAGCTCAGAGGAGTGGAGCCATTTTCCCAAGGCCTCATAGGTAGTAAGTGGCATGGGCCAGCTCCAACTTCAGATCTCAAGCTCTCTCATTAACCATACTGCCTCTCAGCTACCAGATGGTCTTTCATCAAGAAAATAAAATACTGTTGAGGAGATATTATGAAACATCTTAAGACATTTAAAAATATTTTTATAGAGGGCATAATTATTCCCATATCACTGTGGTTAAAGTAAACAATATTAATCTCCATGGTGTTGATGCTTTCAAGTTTGAAGTTGCCTCTCTTGGAACTCCTGATAGTATATAGAGTACATGACATTGAGTTTCTTTACCTAGCTTAACAGCTTCCTTTCAGGGTCATAATACTCTATATATTAATATAGGATCACAGGAGTGATCATAGGAGTATCAGGGTTTCTCTGCAGCCCTTCCCTCTGGTCTGAGAAACTCTAGATCTTTATTTTCATTGCACAGGATTAGGAGGAAAATATCAGCTCCAAATGTCAATGTAATTGAATCATAGCAATATCGAGAATTCTAATCAAACCAATCCCTCTTAAATCAGAACAAAGACAGCATCAAGGGTAAAATATGCAGATTATTTTTGACACTCTTCTTCATTGTAATCTTTCTCCTTGCATTGTTTTGCCTTTTCTTATTTACTTAACGAATATTTATTGTGCATTTATTAAGTCTCTGGCATTTTGCTCGGATCATTTGCTAATTTCTGGTAAAAGAAACTATTGAAAATTAAATATTAGTAATATTAGAAAAGAATGTATTATTTAATACACTGATAAAATTCCACAGTCATGCTGGAAAAAACCTCGCTGGGAATAAAAAATAGAAAAATAAGTTCCTGGGGCGCCTGGGTGGCTCAGTGTGTTAAAGCCTCTGCCTTCGGCTCAGGTCATGATCTCAGGGTCCTGGGATCGAGCCCCACATTGGGTTCTCTGCTCAGTGGGGAGCCTGCTTCCTCCTCTCTCTCTGTGCCTGCCTCTCTGCTTACTTGTGATCTCTGTCAAATAAATAAATAAAATGTTTAAAAAAAAAAAAAGTTCCTGAACAAAGTTTAAAAATAATAATGATAAGCAGATACATAGATATTGATATTATACCAAAAAGGGAAATTAAATTTAGGTCTTGTCAAATATAGGAAGAATAGCATCAAAATGATATCTGCTATTTTCATTCAGCATCATTCTTGAAATTTTGCTAATTTCAAGAAGATATAAAGCAGAAATAAGAGATGTTACTATTAGAAAATACAAGACAAAATTATGATAATTTACAATGGATAGGATATCACCACATAAGAGAATCAACACAAAACTGTTAGAATTAGTAAAATAAATCAAATGATCAAATGTAGGATTATTTTCTCTGATGTTTATTTTGGACATTTATACCTACAAAAAAGTCAGAAGAATGATATAATGACAATCTGTATTTTTTAAACCAAGATTCATCAAGTGTTAAAATTTTTGCCACATTTGCTTTTTCTCTCATTTTATCCATATATCTGAGTGTTCGTATATTTTCTTTTTTTATTTTTGCTAAAGCATTTAAGAGAAAACTACAAACATTACAATACTTGATTCCTAAAACTTAAGCATGCATACAAAAGTATTTTTAAAAGTCAATATCTTCTCATATATAATCAATAACTAGTTAGAGAATATAATGAAATAGGTATCATTTGCACTAACAACAAAAAATTAATGGCCTTATTGAGAAATATGCTGGATTCAAACATCCAAATGAGAAAAATCATTTTAAACATTTGTTGAGCTACATAAAAGACAAACTATTTCTGAATAGAAGACAACATATAATAAAATTCCCATTTTTCTCAAATTAATTCATATGTACATATTACACAAATCCAATCAGAATTATATTGTGATATTTTTTAAACCTTAACAAAATCTTTCTAAAGTTGATCAAAAAAAAAAATCAGGCAAGAATCAAAAATAGAGTTTTGAAAAGAAATAAGGAAAGAAGACTAACCTTACATTTAGGCTTCCTAGTGAACCAGAGACTGTAACTACTGGCATTAAAACAAAATTTGAGCCCCATTTTATCACCACAACTTGCTTGACCTTAGAGAAGTGATTAGCTTCTTAGAGTTCTGAGTACCTCATCTATAAAACAGACACCAAAACATCTGTCATGCAGGGTTATGTGAGGATTCCTAGTAGCCCACTTGAAGAATGCAGTACAATGTCCAGGCAATGACGAAAAAGTCAATATATGTATTGGAGGTATTTTTTTAGCTCTTTTGAGTTTGTAATTTGTAATTAACTTGGATCCAAACTAAATTTCAGTTCTATATAAAGCTTGGCTATTATTGGACTTTTAAAAACATATATATTGCAAAACTTAAAAATTAAGAAAAGAGAAGCAAGCCATAAAAAAGGAAATATAAACTGAAATTTATCAAATCTTCAGGGTAGAAACTTTTTACCTTTGGAAAGATAGAACAAATTATAAAATTTAACTTAATATTGGGAAGAAAACATATCCCATTATTAACAGCATTTGTCTTTGGGTGGTGGAACTATGAACAGTCTTTTCCTTTATTCATCTTTTCTGTATCTTCCAAAGGCAATAAAGAAGCATATATTAACTTTAAGATAAAAATATTTTTCAAAAAAATGTAAATAAAATAACTGCATTATACTGACGCCAAGAGTGGGTGTCACAAGACACATTTTTTTTAAGGCTTCAAGAGCAAAGAAGCATCAAATTCTCCAAGGTGAGCAAAGAGTCAGAAAAGCCTTCACAGGAGAAAGTACATCTAAACTAATTCAAAGAATGAACAAGAAATGGACAGATAGAAGGAGGCGAGCCACCATACCGCAGGGAAGGGTAAAGATAAAAGATGGACCAGAGGGGGTAGATACATTTGCTACATTAAGGGGATTTTACTTCCCTCTACAGGCAGAAAGAAGCAATATATTCATCACTGGGTACATGGATGGATGGATGGATGGATGGATGGATGGATGGATGGATGGATGGATAGATGGTTAGATGAATGGATAGTTGGTTGGATGGATGAGTGATTTGACTGAAAGTAAGGATTTTAAGCTGGTGAGAAATAGGATAAGAATACAGATTAGCTGTGGGAAGCATGCATTAGAAGGGCAAATGAAGAGACCATTAAGAGACTATTTTGCAGGTACTAAATAGTGAAGCCTGCTTTGTGAAAGAGTCCGGCTAGGAGGTTATGTCAGCTTATCTGCACATCATTTATTTTCTCTGTTCAGTACTTACACAATGCCTGACATAAAGGGAGAAAGAACAAGAAGGAGGATGTATAGAGAAGGAGCTAGAAAGGAAAGGAAAAAAGACTGGCAAGATAGGAAAGACAAAGTGTGGCAGAGAAAGAGAGAAGAAAAGGGATGAGAGAGAAGAAAAAATGGGCAAAAAAAAAAAAAAAAGAAAATGGGTAGTGAAAATACACAGGGCAAAAATACCCAGCAGTATGAAAAAATGAGAAAATATGAAGAGCTTTTCAGAGATTTTCAGAAATCCGTAACTAAACTAGCACATACTCATGTAAAGTAGAGCATCAGGAATTGTTCATTTGTGGTTATTTCTATTATTTGTGCTTAATTCCTATTAAGATTAGTCCTGATGCTTCAGTTTCTTTTGTTTCTATGGAGCGGACCAATCTGCACATGGATTTCTCAAACACAATCAATGCACCGTTGTTATTAGCAGACTCATCTAAGTTCATGGCCAACTCCAGCCCACAGCAATATCGGGCAAGCTTCCAAGCTGTCCTCCCTCTTGGTAGAGCAGTAATCCATTCCCCACTCCAGACAAAATTTTTACTCCACTATTTGAATGCTTACTTTAAAGAACACAAATTAATAAATGTATTGAACGACCTGGTCAGTACCAAGGAGCTAACATTGTTATTATTTGCTAAAGGCAATATAATTTGATCTGGTACCCTTCCGTTTACTTAACTATAGATCCTCATTCACAGTGCCAAGGGAACAGATTTTGAAAAGATGATATTTTTATCTATCTGAAGCACCAGGGAAAGGAATATAGATCATCACCTCAAATTAAAAAAAAAAAAAGCCTTACTTTCATGAGCTAACTGACCACATCATTTACTAATGTTGGCAAAGTTTCAGAGCCTAATGAGTAAAAATAAAACTAGTGTTTCCCCTCAAGAGGTTATTTTTTTTTTATGTACAGCAGATTTGAGGAGTGTTGTTTATTACAGCTAGGTAAATATTTTTAAAGACTTGTTTTGACGGAAGCTGTGTTTCTTCTAAGAGAGGTTTATGAGATATTGTAGCAGCCCAGAAGATGCAAATCAGTAGCATTTATGAGCTGGAAAAGAAGATAGGCATGAAGTTGTACATGACATACAATGAAAATGCACAATTTTTGTCATTAAAATTGCACATGGGTATCTAAGGGAAGTCACTATTTCTCTTACGGCATGCCTTTCTTGTGCATCTAAAAGATAGTTCCATATCTCATGTGCATGCATGCTCTTGTTCAAGAAGACATACAGAGAATCCTAAATTTACAGAAGATATAAATTGGAGGATAATTATGCACAATCCAGAAGGACTTTTTAAACATAAGTGTTTTTTAAAGAAGTAGCTCACTTAGTGCGCTTAAAGAAGTAGCTCACTTGGTGCGCTTAAAAAATTATTTTATATCTACATCCGTAACCTACATGCAATCTATCAAAATCACATCTATTAGGTAAAGTGAGGTATATAGCTGTAAGAAGAATTTAAAGAGTATAATCAGAAGGTATTCCATAAAAGTATGAAAATAAAAATACTTTAAAACTTGCTCATTTTTTTTTAATTTCAGGAGATATCTTTGTACAG